CCCACCCCTTCCCGTACCCCTACCCCTACCCCCACCCCCGTACCCCTTCCCTATCCCTTTATCCCTACCACCTGTCCCTACCTCGACCCCACCCCGACCCCCTCACCCTTACCCCTAGCCCTTACCACCCCTTACCATACGTCCATACCCCACCCCGCCATGTTTCCTACCCTGACCCTACCCCTTTTACCCCATACCAAGACCCCGCCCCGAACCCGACCCCACCCTCACAAGTAGGGTAAGGGGTTAGGGGTATGGGTATGAGGGTTGTAGGGGAGTAGGGGTATAGGGTAAGGTCGTGGTAAGGGTAGGGGTAGGGAAGGGGTAGGTGTCAAGGGTTGGAATTGGGGTAGTACAGGGTACAGGGAGGGGTAGGGTTAGGGGTAGGGGTACGCGTACGAGGTGACCACTACATATTATATTATATACTTAATACTTGTGTACATGAATGTTTGTGTGTCTATATATGTATAAGGTTATTTTGGTCATTTTAATGTTAAACAATGTTTTAAATCTTTAGAAGTAAACATGAGTTTACAACACTGCTTATTTTATGCGCCGCTTATTAGCGAGTCTTAATAAACACCGTTTAGTAACCCATGAAGTAAATGTATCCTTAGTGTATTGTAAATTGAGTCGGTATAATTGTTATAGAACTCAAAATGATCTTTCCAACGAGATATAATACGCTTGAAACGGAAGAAAATACAACAAGATATGAGTGTCACAAATACTAAGGATGTTTTCTTTTGGACTGTTTTCAGTCCCAGACCAGACCAGACAAGACCAGACTAGACCAGACTTAACTTTCGTAGTTATAAAACACACAGAGACCAGACGTTTACCAGACCAGACTAGTTCAGACCAGATCAGACCAGACCAGATCAGACCAGCAAATTTCGGTCCAAAAGAAAACATCCTAAGTCTGAACTCTATGATTTAGCGCTTTCAGCGTAAATAAAACATATTTAACGTATTTATGTAGTGTTACTAACGATTAAATTCCTATTATGATAGCATACTAAAATAAAATAAATTAATAAAAAATAAATTAAAATAAAATAAAATATTTATTTTTAATGTTGGAAAATCCCTAGATCCTAAAACTTTAAAGCACTGTATAGTTTTATCAAACAAAAAAATGCAAGTTTTGATAAAGGAAAATAATACAAGATCAATTGTTAACAAAATTTGGGGGAAAGAAAATTTGGAAAAAAAATGAAAACAATTATATTTTACTGAAAATAAAATAAAAGAAATTAAAACGTTGTTCTAACCTCGTTACATTAGTAAAATTTCAAAATCAGTTTTACGTGTTTTAAGAAAATTATTTTAAAATGTATAAATATTTAATCTGAAAACTGTGAGCTGATAATTGGGAATACTAAAATAAAAGGATGATAGTTAAGATTATTTATTCTTTATGTTTAGTTATCGTTTAAGAGTAACATGTAATATCAGGTTGTAGCAAGAGATCAACCCGCAGATAATTAGTAATTGAGATTATTAGCAATTGAAATTAGTATTATCAATTCTTCCTAGTATTGAAGGAACACCTCTATATTTATCTAAAAAAAATTAGTTAAACTGTAATTTGTTGGTCTGGTTTGTTTAAGTTTGATCAGATCAGATCTGTTTGAATCTGATATGTTGTGGTCTCGGATTGAAAACATTTTGAAGTAAAAACAGTTTAACACTTTAACTAGTTCATCTTAAGTTTACAGTACTCCGATTCAATGATTAAGAACTCTAACGGGTCGATGACTGTACACACGCTCCAACGGTTACAATTTACAAACACCAGCGTTCTATGTTTAAATTAGACTGTATTACTCCCTTTTCCAACGGTCGTATTCTTCATATCATCTCTTTCTCTTTGCAACCTCATTGACTGATTCCCCAAATTCCTAACCCTAATTTCTGGAAAACATCGTTCCAGAAATCAGACAATTTGAAGCCCAGACAAAAAGAAGACCAGGAGTTAGAACGTTTTGATGGGCATGGACGGACCGACTTTCAGAAAAGCGGATTCTTTATCGAGCTCGACTGCACTCCCCTCGCTATCTTCTCCTGGTATGAACGAGAAATTCCCCCCTTTCAAGGAACTGAAAATGGCGGAACCCTTTCATGTTTCTTTTGATGCCCTTTTACTCTTTCTCTTTAGCGTAATTGAACTTTTTGGTATACATGTAAGAATGTGATAATGGTGTGGAACGCTGTGAAGATGATTATGATCTTGAATCTCTGATCCCTTGCGGTGTTCTGTTTTTAATATCAAACGAAACTTTTTTTTGCAGAATTTCTCATTTAAAGAAAATTCTAGGGTTAGAAATAAACTGGTAGCTGAGACTTTAATGGCCGGTTTCTTATAACAGTCTGTTATTCAATTTTTAAAAAATATTTTAATTGGTACTCTGTATTTCTTTTATAAAGGAGCAGGAAATACAAATGAGAATCTGAGGAACCGCGTGAAACCACATACTAAGCATTTCATGTCATCTACCATATCTGCAACTTCTAAGAGTGCTACCAAGAAAAAGAACATTTTGGGTGAGAGGAATGAAGCAGACTCTTCTTATACTCCCAGGAAATCCCTAAGTAATACACCCAACACTAATTTCATACAAAAATCTTCTTCAGCTAATTTGTCCCAAAATTGCACCCCTGAGCTGAATGACGATTCATCTTCGAATATGTATGACCCTATAACGAATTATCTCTCCCCTCGGCCTAAGTATTTGCGCTACAAACCGAATAGGCGTCGTGAGCTCTTTCTTGAACTTGAAAATAAAAAAATCACTTCTAGTGATGATGAAGGTTCAATGGGGCACGCCCAGGGTCTGCCTCTTCCTCCCCAAGATGATACTTTACACCTTGAAAACAAAGAGAATGTAGAAGAATTTGGCTATGATGTGGAATCAGATGATGAAGCAGTGAAGAGCGATAAGGATGAAAAGGAGGAGGAGGAGGAGGAGGAGGAGGAGGAAGAAGAAGAAGAAGAGAACGAAGAGGAAGAAGAGGAGAAATGGTTTGAACACAAAAGTTGTAGTTTTAATCGGTGGTTGAAATTTCTGCTTTTAACAATGGTTGTGTTCTTATTTCCCTTGTTCGTATCTTGGATGGATGATCCTCCATCTTTACCATCAACTGAAACGGTTATGAATGGCTTCTCTGAAATTTACCATGGATTTGGAGTTCTTCCATTTGATGTGAATGGAAGTGTCAGTGAACATCATAATGAAATTGAACTGTCACCGAGCATTGATCTTTGGAAATTGGACGATATAGGAGAGATTGGTATGTTCTCTGATGTTGCAGAAGTACAGTTGCTTGAGGATGAAAACGATATCTCTACGGGAAATAACATTAGGCCCAGTGAAGAATGTTGTGTTCAAGAACTGGAAAAGGAAACCATAGAAACAGATGAAAATGAAGCTTTTGATCAATTCCCTGTAGCAGCAGAATCCATAGAAAACAACAAAGCTGATGCTGTCTATGAAATGGAAGAGGGTGGTTCTGATCCACTAAAACAGTATGAAGCTGGGGAAATGACTCCTGAGAGGCTTTCAGAAAATGACAACCCTTCTGGTGTAATTCAAGAACCTGTGGTGGTAGAGCCGACAGCTTCAAAAGAAAGCATCACTGAAGAATTTCTGGAGGAGACTGAAATAGAAACAAATGGTGAAGATACTGTTCCAAGTAGTATAGTGTTTGAACAATATACCAAGGAATCTGCTGATGTTGCTGTGAACAACATACTCCAACAGATTCAACAACTCACCCCAGCAGCTGCTATTATTGCCACTCTCTCCCTCCTTCCACTCCTGATTCTTGCATATGCATATTCTGCAAGGCACCCAAGAATTCCTCCTCCTCAACAACAATCAAAGCCTGCAGTTGAACCAGGGACTCCAAATATTGATGAGAAAATTGAAGCCACTGCAAAAGCTTCACCATTGATCAGTCCTCCTGTTGAAGAATACCATAGGTACAGCACCACTAACTCCAACTTGCTCCCCTCTCCTGAGTGCATCTCATCATATAGAGTGGAAATGGAGAACACCCCAGAAACCAATCAGCTTTGGGGCGTAAGTAGAGAAGACTCATCTTTTTCGCTTCTGCCGTTGAAAGACTCAAGGCAAGAGTTTAGTGGTAGTGGCTACACAAAATCTCTAGAGGTGGTTGAGCTTCTTGGAGAGCTCGTGATTGGAGGAGAAGAAGTCAGCAGCAGCTCTTTAATGAAGAAAAGCAAACTGCTTTCTGAAACCGAAGAGAGTAGCTATTCCATTTCTCACTTCAGTGATGGATCGCCAATAAAACTTCATCATCATCCAATGGAGACTCCAATATCTGATTCCTCCTCATATGAAAGATATTTCACTGGTAGGAAACTACCTCCCAAGAAGAAACAGGTAACGTAACTTTCATTTTATACTTCCATTTCAGATTTTGATTACACCACCGGTTTTTTTCCAATACTTTGAATTCTTATTTTTCACTATCATGCAAATGACAGGGGAGCAAAGATGGAGAGTCCACCAAAAAGGCGACCATCACAACTACTCCAGTCAGGCGTTCCACCAGACTCAGGAACAGAGAAACCATGTCTTCTCCATAAAGATCTACCCTAATCTAATTTCAGCATATCAATTACTATAGAAAGCAGTTGCAGCTTGTGCTGTTTTCATAGGCTAATAGTAGTTGTCTTTCTTTTAAATTGTTGATAAATGTAATATTGGATGATTCTCTAGTCATGTATTTTTCTGTTTCCCCACTTCTGCTTCTTTCATTTCTCTTGAGCTTTTATTGATTCTTGGAAACACCTATAACTAGGTTTTATTATATATACTCTCAAAGTAAAGTACTTGCATAAGCTCATCTGATAGAACATTAATAAATTTAGTGAAGCTCTTACATAATTTTCTTGAGTATTAACATAATTTAACATGTATCTCCGTTATGAAAATCAGAAAAATAATTAACCATTCCCACAATTATCTCTCCCTCTCTATGTATATAAACAAATTAAAAAGAATTGTGTTTAACATATTATGGGTTCTCAGTAACAGGAAGCAGAGGGGGTCTGCTTTTCCTGCTGCCAATGAAGCTTCTTCTTTCTATTCTGCTTTGAGAAGAATATGATGATGATGAGGAGATCTTGGTGGAAGCTTTCTTTGTGATGGTTGGTTTAGGTGAAGTGAAGGACTTGTAGGCATCCCAACCAGCCCCAGAGCTCTTTGCAGCTGCCTTCATTCTTCTTCTCCTTTTGTATGGTGTTTCTTTCTTTGCAAGGTCTTGTTCGCTGGTCACCTTTGACAGTGATGTAAAAGATTCTGATTTCCCATTGTAAAACTTGGACAGTCCCCTCCTGCACAAATACAAATGCATCCACATTTTTAATTCCTCCAATTCATAATCATTTCCATGAAAAAAAATCACCATGGATTCAGGATTGAGTGTGTATAGATAAATAACTACTTACTTGATGGGTAACTGGCACATGAGAGATGACAAGTTAAAGGATAAAGAAGATGATGCATCATCTGTGGTGTCTAAGGAAGATATTGTTGATGATGAGGAGGAAGATGATGAAGAATTCTCTCCTATGAATGATGATGATGATGATGATGACCCATCATGCATACTCCATGGATGATCATCTTGGACATTCTTGGTATACATAAACCATTGATCTTGAACAGCCAGTTGATTCATCTTTGTGGGAAAAAACACCAACTCCTTGAAATCCTGAATTCCTTGAGATGATTAAGATAAGAAAAAGAAACGGATATATTTGAGGATGACACATGCACATATACATGCACCTGTGAAGATGGACAATACGTCTTGGGAGGGGGCATATTTATATGGCCAGAATATAATGGCGTGTGAGTGTTTGTGGATTAGTTTTAGTTACTTTTGGGACAATGAAATCTTATCACATGTTGGCTCACGAAAATCCTGTACTGCCATACACGAAGTGGGGCCACTCAAATATTATCCAGGTTGATTCCTCAAAACTAGCGACCGAAAACATGGCTAATCATTTTCGAGGTTAAAAACGTGATGTATATCGATAATATTCATCCATTTGTAATTATATTTTGTTTATAATGTTTAAAGCGGTTTACTATCGATTTAATGGACTTATGGCAATGACTACTTAACCATTCAGCCACTAAATCATTTTATTTATGATTTAATTTGAAACATGACTTAATCATTCAGTCAAAAACTAACTTAATAGTTAGACTTAAAAATAGCAGTCATTTCCATTCAAACGGCTATTAAGACCTTTTTCTCTCAATTTTTTCATGGAATAGATTTATATTCATAAATGAAGATTTTTATTAACATTATAAAATATCACTTAATCCAGACAGACATCTTAACACAGATAGAGATCTTAAACAATAAACCTCATAAAAATAATGATACGCACCCTTATCTAATTCAGGTTTTCAATTTTATAAATTTGGAAATCCATTTTTAACCACTAATCCGTGCATGTTATATATGTAAAAAGTGCGTCCGTAATAGAGTATTTTAAGTATACTCAGAACCATATATGAAAATTAAAAGAAATTATCTACAAGACACAGACAAAATATGTTAACAGACATGTTTTGCATGTCTTATTAATTTTGTGATTTGCCTGACTTTTCTAACAATACTCTTATGTTTTGCATGTCTTACGGTTTGATGTGAAACGATTGAAATAAATAAAAAGATATCTGGAAATGAATATAAGTGATAATTGTATCATCATGTTTTGGATTTTTCTTCTTTAATTTATTGAGAAATATAATTTAAGGAAGTTTAAATGAGTTCAATCGGCTATTCACGTATCACACCAAGAAATTACCTACTAATTAAACAATGCTCTAATTTTGACTCACTTTCGGTTTTTTCCTTTTCTCCTTTGAAAAATGTAGAAAGCAGTACAATTTATAGGTATAACATGCACCAAATTGTAGAAATGGGCATATACGATGACACTGTGCATTTCATATTGTATCTGATTTTTTAGATAAACTCTGTACTAAAAGAAAGTATAACGTTTATTTTGGAGCATTGGAAAAGAAAACTCAGACATATATTTAATTTAAGAGTGGATGGAGTGTAATTTACGTGTCAATCAATAAGAAATCTAAAATCTAAAATGAGAAGTTTATGAAGATAGGAGTGGACTCCGAAGTATTTAATTTGTATTTGTTTTATCATAAACGTTTTTATTTGTTCAAAAGATCACATCCTCGGTTTTTTAAATTTGTATTCAGACATTATTATATTATCGTTATTATAAAACTCACTCTATCTGTAATAACTAGAGCCCGTTATGATAAAAAAAAAACCGTTTGATAGCATGAAAATCAGCTGATTTGGCTGATTCTGCTGAAATTTATGAAATTCTGACTGAAGTGGCTGCATTGGTTGATTCTGCTGATTTAAGAAAAAAAATAAAAATATTTTTTATTAATAAAATAAAGGAAAAAAAATGTAAAAATAGTTAAAATGATCATCTACAGTAACTTCAGCCAATACAGTCATAAAAGTAATTTCAACCTTACTTTTTCTGCTTATTACACAATTCAACGCGTGAAAGCAAAAGTTACATATTTAGTGAAAAAGTTGATTGATAAATACGTTAAACCGAAAAACAGTTCTCAAACGACCTCATAATCCTATTTGTATTCATAAATTTCTTGATACGGGAATATGGCTTAGGATGTTTTCTTTTGGACTGTTTTCAGTCCCAGACCAGACCAGACCAGACTTAAACAGACCAGACCAGACCAGACCAGACCAGATCAGACTTAAACAGACCAGACCAGACCAGACTTAAACAGACCAGACCAGACTTCCGTAGTTATAAAATACACAGAGACCAGACGTTTACCAGACCAGACCAGACCAGACCAGTTCAGACCAGACCAGACCAGACTTAAACAGACCAGACCAAACTTAAACAAACCAAACCAGACCAAACCAGACCAGACCAGCAAATTTCAGTCCAAAAGAAAACATCCTTATTCATACTCATGTATCCTGTTTAAAACAATTCGTGTGGTCAAAATTTTCTAGCAAACACGTCGTGGGTGTGGCGGCCAGCAGGGAAATGTGAGGAGGAGGACTATTAAACGGGGTGATGATGTAAGGTGGGTCCCATAAATTTATAAAAAATTAGAAGTATCTTATTAATGTTAAATAAATATCTTCCTTTTGCTAGCTATTGCCTTATCTAATATTCGAATTTATCTGCTTGTTACGGTTCACATTAATTCATCTACCAGTTAGAAAGCGGATAAGCTCTTCGTGTCGGAACGATCCATATCCTCATCAGTCGTCACCAATTCACCATATCTATATCCTACTCCAATTTATTATATACTCCATACATTAATATTAATTCATTCATTCATCCGCCACTCATAATTACACATGCATACGCAATCCGAATCACGCTAATTAATTTCAATAATAATAAGTATTGTTTTTATTATCATTATGCTACGTATGCAACAAAAGTGTTCATTACGTACATACCCATAAAGAAAATAAAGGCCTGTTTGATGACATTACAGCTGAATTTAAATGTATTTGTTGAATTTTGAAAATATATATATATAATATATTTGATTAATAAAGTAAAGAAAAATTATATGAAAAATAGCTAATATGATCATCTACAATAATTTCAGCAAATTCAGTTTCAAAATTGAGTAATTCGAAACTTAATTTTTTAATTATTTCTCTATTTAGAGGATATATATATATATATATATATATATATATATATATATATATATATATATATATATATATATATGATAAAAAGTTAATTGATAAAATGAGTAAATTGAAAATGGTAGTCGCCATATGGTTCAAAATGTCACATGAAAATGGAAGAATTTTTTGGTCCAACATTATAAGCTAATATCTTTCAATTTTCATTTTTATGGTATTGAATTAAATTATATTACTCCTATCTCGCTACGATTGTCTCATCTTTACTTTTCGATACATCTCACTAATATTGTGTGGTTCTACATTAATTTTACTTCATTCTTATTTTATTAATTCAAAATCAACCATGTAAATTCATTTTTCTTAATTAATAACCGCACAAACTTCTCATGTCCCGGGGTATTAGTAGAATGGAGTATGTAATATTACATAGGCTAGAGTATAAACTAGCTAGCAGCTCAAAATTTTATACTTTATTACATCTGACTTACCATTTCTGGATATTACCACACATATTAGAGTGTAAGAAAGTAGAATCATGATATTAATAACAAAAATTAAAATGATTCATGAGTTTGAGTCATGCAATATTCTTTTTGGATAAAAGGAAATTTTACTGGAAAATTAAGGGAGGATTACAACGTGAAAATAGGAAAGCGGAAAAAAGAAGTACAAAGGGGAATACAAAAGGAAAAGAAAGTCGAAAAAGAAACAAGATAAAATAACTACACCCAAGGAAATTGCTTGGGTTGTGATCTAGTTCGCATGCTATATCTCCTATTGTTCTGTTGGGATTTGCAGTATATTTTAATCTGTGTATTCAGATTATCAGTCAGAAGGCAAGTATCCTGAGTGATAAATTGAGATTTATATATAGCAAATCCCTCTGTTGAAATGAGAGTCCCGAATGTCGTCCCAGTTGGAAATTGGCGGTCAACGATCACTTTCTGTTGCGTGTCCTAGAAAGTCGCCTGAATGAGGCTCTGTTTGCAAACCCAACTGGAAAGTGCTTTTAACTTTTTTAAATGATTTGGTAAAAAAGTGATTAATAGTAAAAGTTGGTAGTGTTTGAGAATAAAGTGATTTTGAAAAGTAAAAGTTGGTGGTGTTTGGTAAAATAAGTGCTTTTTGTGTAATAGAAAAAGACCTTGATGGTAAAATAACTTTTTGTCATTTGAAAACACCTTTTTTAGCTTTTTAAGTCAAAAGCTGGGAAGTGCTTTTTTAGTTGTGTTTGCAAACAGGGCCTAATATGAGTCATCAGATGCTTCGAAGTTGGCAAACACACTTGAGAAAGCCTGATTTAGAAGTAGCTTGGGGTGTTTCTTAGAAGACTGAGACTGTTCTTTCTCAGTGTAGGCTTCCCGAATTTGGCAAATGAAAATAAGTTTTGAAATTGATGTGAGTTCCTCTGTGCATGTCATGGTTTCATACTCTGGATGCATTGATTTCTACTGCATTGAATCAAAAAATCCCACAAAATTTGAAAATATAGCAAGAAATTTAAGCAGGCTAGAATTTGGTGGGCCCGTTGGAATCGAGATGAAGTTCCCCTTTTCGTTTACACCACATTTCATTAGGAAAAAAATGCATAATTTAAAATTTATTATGGAGCAGTTTTTTTGCTGGAAATTAATCATGTATTAAATCAATTTATCATTCTCCAATTGGAGTTCAATGCAATCAGGTGGGTAATGAAAAAATAAAAACTATTCGACATTGAAAACGCAACCTTTGCTAGTGCGAGAGTCACGCACGTTAATCGCGGATCTTTTACAATGAATAACTTTTATACTAGCTTCATTGTGAAGATTGTGTCTGATGTCTTAAATAGTTGGGTCAAAAAAAGATTCACCTTCTTTATTCATAATACATGTTGCTACCACCAATGAATCGGTCTCTACATGTGCTCTTGGCCACCTGTGTTTTGACCTAGTATAATGTTTCTCGGACCCCTATAGCCTCCAAAACCCCGGATGTCCAGTCTGCATTGGTTAGCTAGCATCCCGCCATAATAAAAAGTTAATTGTCATCCTGAGCGACCCATGCCCAAGCACGTTTGCTTCTCCTAACGTCCAGAGCCACGACAACATTTATGTTAATAATAAACCCCCACCTCCGGTTGTAGCCAACTATCTTCTTCAT